CAATTTATGTCCAGGATGCGAGGAGTCTGCAGATATTTTCACAGCCCTCTTTTTGACTCGTGCAGTGTACAGGTCCTCAATGGAAGGCAGATTGGCTGTAATCGTTTTTTCTGCAGTTCTAATTATCCGTTGAAGTCTGTGTTTGTCTTGTTGGGTTGCAGAACCAAACCAGAGAGTTATGGAGGTGCAGATGACAGACTCAATAATTCCTCTGTAGAATTGTATCAGCAGCTCCTTGGGCAGTTTGATCTTCCCACTTCATTTCAGAATAGAAACCCCAGTATTTTATTCTCCCTGCTCCTGCCAATTCTCCAAACAGTGGTTCAAGTTCAGAAAGAAAATGCGGCCGGGCGAAATCTGTGAGATTTTTTGAATTATGGCATTTTTTTCAAAAAGCGTTTCAAAAACCTGATATTGCAGTGTGTCTGCCAATAGCTCGTTGCATAATGATTTATTAATAAAGCTAGAGTGGGCTGATTTGGCAAGAAATCAGAGCCAGCTAACGAATCCTGTGACACTCAAATGTCATTGTCACAAACTGTCTAGTTTTAACCAAGCAGAAGGGAGCCTCATTCGCTAACTCTTTAAAGATCCACTTTTGGTTTTGGTTTTCTTACCAGATGGTTTTAAATTTAAATTGTGGGAGAAAAGCCTGTACAATGAGTCCTCGACTTCCAACTATAATTAAATCCAGAACTTCTGTTGCTAAGAAAGTCAGTTAGAAATAACACTTAAGACATATTCCGCTTCACAGTGATTTACAGCCCTCTCTAAGCGATTTACAGAGTCAGCCTATTGCCCCCCCCAAAAAACAATCTGGGCCCCTCATTTTACTAAACTTGGGAGGATGGAAACTTGAGCCAGTCAGGATCGAACTGCTTGCAGTTGGCAGAATTAGCCTGCAATACTGCATTCTTAACACGGCGCCACCACAGCTCTTTGTTATGTAAATTGTGCACATTTTTGCAACCTTTTTGCCATGATTAATAAGTGAATCACGGCAGTTATTAAGTGAATCACACAGTCAGTTAAACAAATCCGTCTCCCCCCCGCCCCCTTGACTTGTCAGAAGTTGATTGGAATAGTGATATCATCACTCTAGGAGGCCGCAGCTGTCATAAATACACAATGGTTGCCAAGCATCCCAATTTTGATTCCATGATTGTGCAGATGCTGTAACAGTTGTAAGTGAAAGGATCAGTCATAAGTAACTTTTCCCAGTGTCGTCGTGTCCCTGGCCAATCGCTAAATGAATGATTGATTCTTGCTCTGTCAGTGTTGATGGGAGTGGCCTTGGTGATTCCTTGATTAGGCTGTTGTTTGCTGCTAGTTGTAGCCAGCAAGAAAACCACCAAGCTCAGAGAGCACCAAGGATCCCACAGTCACTTTCTGTGCTTCCTTTCCTAACACTATTTGTCATTTCTCCCCTCTCCAGCCCACGTCAAATATGAGACCTTGAAGCCTTCGATCTGTAGGAAGTTAGCAACCGCCCCTCTCCTAGGAAAATGAGACATTTTAGGAAACATTAAAAGGGCAGAATATTTCCCTTAAAGGGGAGGAAGAAACTCAGCCCCTCCCCTTTGTCAATGGGCCATTAAGGCCTGAGCCAGTCTATTCTACATAACAAAGATCTACGTCCTTCAGGCAGAGCCATAGTAGGAATTGCCCAAAGCCTTTTCATTACATCATTACCCAGCAAGTGTCAACCAAGCTTGGGACTCAGGACAACCTACAGAGTTGCCCCTGCATGGCCCATGGGAGTCTGACAACCAATCAGAATAGAAGCTCAAATTTAAAGCCCAACAGAGGGTATACATCTCTCTCTCTCAATCTCTCTCTCTCTCTCTCTCTCTCTCTCCCTCCCTCCCTCCCTCTCTCCCTCCCTCCCTACCTCTCCCATATGCCTTTTTGCCCAGCAGCTCAAACCATGTGGTCCTGTCCACCATTAAACCTTCTTTCCAAGCAACTTCCATGAATCCAGTGTCTTTTCCCCCACTTGGAACTGAACCCAGAAGGACATGTCTTCCAACAGATCCATTTTCCTAGGAAGAAGGTCCTCAAAAGGACTTACCTAAGAAAGACTATGTTGGCCTGCCCAACCTCTCCTAAGCTGTTACCCAGTACAATGAAGGGTGCTAGTGCCAATATTGAGTTTCCAGGGGGTCTTTTTTGCAAACCATTATGGGATCTGTGTGTTCTCCTTCAATTTAGGTAGCAGGTTTTCTGGCTCAGCTTTATTCTGCTCCCATTCTTCTTGCCAATTGATTAAAATAATAGCATGCTCACCACATGGTGGGTAATGTGGATGGATAACAGTGATCATCTGGAGGTTAGAGAAAATTAAATACCAGCTCATTTCTGTGCTGCATGTTATGACTAAAAGCTTTAAGCCTCTCAAGCAGCTTGTCT